GCATTCTTTGTTCCTGCCTTTGAGTAAATCTGAACCAACCTTCTTCTCTGATGCATCCTCAATCCACAGCTGCAACAAGGTATTTTGGATTGATGGTGTATTTTATTTCACATATTCATCCTCCCCGCAGGTTCTCCCATCTCTCCTGATAGTTCCCTGTCACTTGCTGCCATTTACCTCCAGTCCTGTTCCACGCACCTCCTCTGGGAGCTGGAGTATGGCAAGAGCAATTGGAAAGGCTCAAGCAAATTGGCAGTGATGCCCCCAGCCCTTGCTTGACCTGCTCTCCAGGCAGGGGAGGATGGAAGGCAGAGCTGAGGACTTCCACACCATCCAAAAATGAGATGTTTCCATTCTGTGTAATTCCTCTTCTGCCAGACCAGAGGAATGAAGGGAAATTTTAATGTGTATTTCTAACAGAATAAGTTCACAACACTCTGCAAGAAATGTCTGTGCCACAATATGGTCATCAATGATTTCCAGATTGCTAGGACAGCTGTTCTGCCATATTCATTATTTGTCCAATTGGTCTAAGGAGTTAGATGTCTAAACAGGAAGTTAGGAATTCAGGAAGTTGACTTGAGCTTGTGAATCCAGAAATTCCCACTCCTCTGCCTTTTAGCTGACATCCAGTAATACCTTCATTGCTTTATTTTTTTTCCCTGAAAATGCTTTCCCCATGCCCAGCAGAGCCTTCATTTTGATTGTGCTGAGCAACTTAGTGCCCGATTCCTCAGCCTCATCCAGCCAAGGCTGTTAGATACTCCCTTATTCGTCTCCTCTGAGTATTTCTCAAAACTCACTTCACGGTGACACCTGGAGGAAGTAAATTCAAGACTAATAGAATATAAGATATAATATAAGTTATTCCTGCCAACAAATTTACCTGTTGTGATAGCGATGTCTTCCTTCTGCTGTGCTAGCACTTTGGGGGTAACAGCTTGGGAGTCTGAAGTCAGTTTCTAAACCCTTGACCTCTTACTGTGAAAAACAGCAGCAAGAGAGGGTGGGTTTGCTGGAGATAAAGCTCTTATGCACAAACTATTATCATTTAATAGCAATCTAAGGAAAAATGTGGCTCCAAATCTATGAGAAGCATCTATGCTTTGTGTCCCTTCTAATATCAAATGGGATGCACACCAGGCAAGTGGCAGCTGGCTGGACTCGTTCTCTTGGAGAAGTCCTCCAGACAATCAGGTGAATTCCAACTAACCAGAAACAAATAACGGGTCACACACACAGCCTTGTGCTGCCCCTCTGGTGACATGCCACCAGCCTGCCTCGCCCTGCCACCGACTGTGCCCTCTGCCCAGACTTGCTGTCTCAGCTGAGTCCTGCCCCGTGTGTCCAGCCTCCCACGAGGCCTGCAGCACCTCAGCTTGGCTTCTCCAAGTGCCAGCAGGGGCTCTTCAATCTCCCATTGCCCCAGCTCTTGCTTGTCCCTGACTCTCCCTGCCTACAGGGCTTCAGAGGCTGCAAACACCTGGAGCACCTGCACGAGCCCGTGAGCAAGGAGGGGAGTCCCTAGCTCCGGAGGCGAGCGTGTTCCTGACTCCTTGGGGCGCAGGAGGCTGCCCTGCCGAAGGGCTGGCAGAACGCAGGGCGAGAGGCAGCTCCCCCAGCCCCAGATGCCAGGGTCAGCAAGCAAGGGCACCAGGAGGGGACCTGCCAGCTCTGCCGCTGCAGCTGCTCCCTCTGTCGCTGGCAGCTGGGCTTGAATATTCATGGCAACAAAAGATTAGCACTGTGTGCGCCTGGCACCGCAGGCAGAGAAACTTTCTTGAGGTGCCCGTGGCTCTGTTCTCATCCCATTCAAGCGCTCGCTCCCTCTCCCCCGCTCCGCTGTCTGCTTCATCCACCAGCTGATTCCCGTGCTGTGTAAATGATAAAGAGAGGCGAGCAGCATGATTAAGCATTCAGCAAAGTGATCCGAGTCCACACAAACTAACAGGGGTCGTGCCAACGCTTGCACTAAACTGGCACGGAAGGAAGATGCACACACAAAAAGTCATTTATAAATGGGCAAAATTTTGCGAGGCATCAGAGTGGACTTAGGGGCTGTTAACCATTGTTGAGGTTGCTTAGTCAAAGCATCATTCCCACTGACTGACAGTGATATTTAGATTTTTGAGCATTTAGAAGCACTCAAGATGGAAATATAGATCTTTCAGACACTCTAGAAACTTCCCACAGTTTCACCTTATAATATCCTTGATACTGATATCCTTGATGTCCGTGATATTGTAAGGTTCAAAATACAGTCTGCCACTCCTCCTTTGCTGCTCAAAACCTGCCAGGAAATGCAAAAACTAATCAAGGTAAAGGCTCTTTGCAATGTTTTGATGCTGGTTGGAGGTGGAAAAGGAAACTCTGAAGCTCTGCTGCTGTTGTCATTAGATTATTGTGCTGTCGGGAAGGAGCGTGGAGTTGTGGTCGCTTTGTTAACCTTGGTGTTGTGACAGCACTGGACAGCCCGCAGATGTGAAAACCGCATTTGATTAAGAGATGCCACCTGGAGTAGATGGAAAACAGGAGCTGGAAATGTTGCTCAACTGTAGGACACTGCTGTGAAATGCTCCTGTGACAACCTAGGAGCTCATCACGGATGAGTCGGCCCTATGCTCCCTTCTCGGCATGGATTCGCAAGCCTCTGTGAGCTGGCAGGATTCAAGCCAGAGGAGGAAGGTTGCTCATGCTTGAAGGGAGACCTGCAGGGTTAACCAGCAAACAGCAGCTGGAGTTTGAAGAATGACTGGTTACAAATCGCTATGTAAAACCACTAGCCTGTTAAGCAGGGGCTTTTCCAAAGCGTTCAGAAGCGCGAGGACAGGTCTGACACAGCTGATGTTAGCTGGTGGCAAGGTGAGAACTGTGCCTCGCAGAGCTGCTTTGCTGCCTCTTAGCTGAGCTCCCTCTCCTCGTAGGCTTAGTCTTTCGCACACAGATAGAGCGACACTTATCTCCCCCTAACTTAAGAGAAGGAGCCAGTTTAGCTGGTGGAGAGAGAGCAAATCATCTGAGCTGTTCCTGCTCTCTGCCTTAGAGTGAGATGAACCATATCCTAGAAGCACCTGTATCTTATCAGTAGTTAAAGGGAGTTTAGACAACTAGATCAACTGTAGACAGATAAAGTGACTGAACTGCATCTCCAGAGCAGGTAGGAACCCAGGAACACCAGCACCCGAGGAACACGGTCTGTCTACCAGCAGGTAGCACCCCAGGAACACCAGAATCTCTGGCTTGTCTGAAGCCAGAGGGCCCCAATGGCTGATTCAGGTTCGTGCTCCTAAGTACTGTGGATGTAAAGGCTTGGCACCACCTAACACAGTTCTGTGTTGATGGGGGGAGGTTGGAGTTCCCTAGATCTTCCCCAGGCCGTCATGGAAAGAGGCTTTGGGGGACCAGCAGTAAACAAACTCTACAAGGGGCTGCCTCATGGGGTGTGCTCAAACTAGCCAAATAATTACCTTGCATTGGAGAACCACACAGGTCTTCAGGTCAGGAAAATATTAGCTGTTTATTCTTTGTCGCTGTGTGGAAAATGGGAATAATTCTGAGTTTTCAATAATTTGCTAGCAAACAAACTTCTGATGCTAAAAGCAAGGTTGCTGCATTGCTAACCATTCTGCAAGGATGGCAGTGGGGGAAGGAAAGAGCTTAGGGGCATGGCCACCTGCTCCTTCTCCATCTGACACTGCCGTAACCACAGTCTGCCCAGATTTGGCTTGACAGGTCTCTCATGAGGACAATGGGAACGACCTCATTAGAAAAGAAAAGTAAAACTGGTCAGCAGTGAGAAGTAAAATTTGCTTCTGCCAGATTCGTGAGTCAGTGGCGAAACAGGATCCTTACTGTGCATGGTAGGTGCATTGGAAAGCCAGTGCTGCATATTGGCCAAATGACCAACATTGTTAGTAAAGGTCAGGTATGTCCAAAGCAGATCTTTTCCTCTCCTGCCCTCACAAAGGATTCAGCAATACTGATCCCTTAGGCTATTCCGTGGATGCTGTGAGCTAGGGGGACACATCAGGCTTCTCAGAGGCATTTTTCTCTCTTGCTTGGAGAACTGAGTGATGTTTCACTGAGTGTTTCGTTGAGGGATGTGATGCAACACTGTACTATTTTCATTCTTGTTTTCTTTCATATTCTTCTACTTTTCTCTGAAGACCCAGTGAAGATATGAAGAATTTTCTTTCAGCAGGCTGTAATGTTCTTCTCCTTTCCTTGATTTCTAACACCGCTCTCCATTCGCAGACCTGGAACATTTGCCACCCAGTACACTAGCTGGCACCCTCCCTAGCTCATGCTGCCATGCGGGGAAGCATTGGTCCCTGTTCCCCTTCTCATCCGTGCTGTGTGTGATGAACAGTCATGGCTCTTTCATGCTCCTCACTGAGCAGGACGACAGCAGCTTTTATCAGATCCAGCCACATGGAGACACAAGCTGCATTTAGGAGGACTTACCCCTGCCAGCTCCTCTGGAAGCCACCTTCTCCCTGGCAGCTCTGGGCCACAGCGGCTTTCTTCCCCAAGGAGCAGGCTCTGGCTTGCTCACCCCAAGACCTAACTACAGAAGTGAGTCAGTGACTCGAGAGGAGAGCCAAGTGAGCTCAGCCTTCCTTATCTTGCATGGACATCTGGCCCAGCCCGTTAGGCCTTCACTAATGATTTTAGGCCTTCACTAATGATTCACCAGGACGAGAAGTATCCATGTACCCAGGTGCAAGGCTGCATCTTGCCGTGTGTAATATACCAATATACCTGATGACCACAGAGACATGGGCACAGGGCAGAGCATGAGGGAGAAGGCTGAAGAGGGAGAGAGAGCTGAGCTGTGTCGGATGATTCCTCTAGTTCAGTTACATTTAGAAAAGTGGTGAGGCATCTTCTTGCCTTAACTTTGAGCATTGACAGGCACTTATGGAAACTAAGAAATACACCGTGACCCTTGTAGTGGGCAAGGGCTACAGGAAAATCACGGTTCTTGTTTCTTCAGCAGATACGTGATCTAGCAGGCTGGAGAGGCAATTTATCCTAGACAAAAGGAGAAAAGAGCCAAAGAAAAAGACAAGAGAGATGGACACTTGTGAGACCCCTGGACAGATCTGTGAAGGACTTTAAGGTACTTAAAGCACTCTTTTTAAAGGGCTTTGAAAAGACAGGCAACTTCACAGTGTTCATTTTCTACAGGTCACAGAAGCAGGGAGTAATTTGGAGCATGCAATCTAAAAAAAACTACCTGATGCATTTTCCAAGAAAGTGCACCACACAAGTCAGCAATAGAGAGACCAGCCAGTTCATAGAAATGGCCTGACTGCAAAAATAAATAAATAAAATAAAAAAGTCCCCTTGCAGTTTGCAAGAAGATTGCAGAGATAAGACTCTCTGAGAGTACAGCAGGAAATTCTGCACTGGCAGCTAATCTTCTCCTATAAGGAATCTTGGAAGAGCTTTAAAGAGACAGAGTGTTGGGACAGGGAGGGGAAATGAGTAACAAACAGGAACCCTGCACAAAAACAACTGACTTCTGCAGGCCTGTGACTCTGGCTTTTCTCATGCAGGGCAGGGAGACGAGGATGCCGCAGTCTTAAACTTTCACCTTTTTACGGCAAGGAGGCCAAGTGGCCCTCGTGTACCAAACCTCCCAGTTTTGCAGCAGTTCGGTCCTATTATCCTTTCTGTTTCTTTTCCATGAATCAAGTATGTCCCCTGATGGAATGACCTTGCTGGGAAAGAGATGATGGTTTTCCTGATGGATGTGTGTGTGTGTCTATACACACACATACACTCAGATGAGGGAACTCAGTTTTCTCAGGTGTAGATGCAAAGCTTTCCTAGTGACACCGGTCAACACAAGTGATAACAGTGCTCTCTCCATAGCAAAACATGTTATTTGTTCCGAGTTGGTTGCCCAGTGGTGGGCAAGTGGTTGTGCCGATGCTGCAGTAGAAGAACCGTCGCTCTGCAGAGTGAGGACCGGGATCACTGAAGCCTCCCTTGGCTGAAACTCATGCCAGGTAACCAGCCCCAATCACAAAAGCTCTGTTTACTCCTGAAACTGAAATGTAAGGAGAGGAAAATCCAGGTGCAGCTAGTCTTTCCTGGCTCGCTAATGACGACAATAATGATTAAGCCTGAAAGGTTTTCTAAAAATATATAAAAGTAATGAGTTTACATGTTGCAGACTGGTGCTGTGCACACTTCTGGCTATTTATTCTTTTAAAGGGCATCATTGTATGCATCATCCCTTATCATTTTTTTTGCTTCATCCCTTTTTGTTTTTGAGCAGTTTGACATGAAGATTCTCAGTAATGAAGCTGCAGAGCAGCATTGCCAGACATCACAGAGGAAAATGTGAAGATCCATTCATCAGAAAATCCCCAACTTCCAGAATATCACATTTAAAAACTACGTATCTGAAATACCTGCGTTCAGTGAAGAAGCAAGATTCGCCTCTGAATGGTAAGAGGAGCCAGTGAAAGCAAATGCTGAGCTATCTTGCTGTTCCTATCAGGACGATGCTCACAAAAGTACAAATCAGCATCTCTGTTGGTGTGGGGTCATGGCTTGTCATCTTCTTAGTATTGATGAGTGTTTGTAGCCACAGCAATACTTCTAAGCTAGCAAGTGGCTAAGCTCTCCATGAATAAAAGCAGTTTGAGTCAATGAATTCTTCATTAGTATCTCAGAGGAGAGCCTGTCAGTTTAGGAGCTCAGAGGAGCAGAATATGGGACATCTGTGTACAGCGCTCAGCAAACTGTCAACACAGCACACGAACAAATTCATGCAACTTGCCCTTAAACGAACCATCAGGAGGCCAAGTGATTAATAGGTTGATCTGTCGAAACTGTTAAGTTTCCTAAAAGCATGACTGAGTGGAGTCATTGCTTACGGTACAAGGAGCTGTTATTAACATTCCAATAGCTGTTTTTCGTTAAAGACATCTGTGACTTAGAACTGTGAAAGCCTGTTTGGTTTTATATTTGTGTTTCAAATAAACGAAACACTGCATTTGTATACCCAGCACATGTTTCCTTTAAGGGTTTGCTTTCAGAGCAGTCAAAACAAAATATATTGCCTTGTGGCAAATGCATTCGATGAGGTACCACTTTGTGCCCTAGGGCTTTCATCTCCTGAGAAGACAATGTGGCCTGTGGAGACTTCAGGTTTCTTCATGCAATATTCCTTTTCTTTGCCAAGATACTACTCTGCCTTTACCTAATTTCTACCTAACATGTGGGCTGCAGGCATCTGGCAGCTTGCTTTCTGGCAGTTGTATTCCTAATGTACAAATATTGCAAAAGAATTCCTCTCCTCCCCACCCACAATGCCACATCTGTGCCTCAGGGTTGTACCCCTTCCTTCAGCAGTGGGAGAAATCAAAACAGAATTGTAATTACCAGGAAATGCTGCCTCAAAGAAGAAGGGTTGACTTCTGAAATTGTCAGCAGCCCAGGAAGGATTATGAAATAATAAATGAGGCAAAGAAGCAGGATGCTATGGATGTTAAAGCCCTATTTTATCCTGGGCAACTTCAGTTCAGCAATCTGATGAGTCACCTAGACTTGGATCTATAAAAGGGTTGGAGCCCTTAAGTCTGAAAGGTAGGTGGCTAAAAACCCTGCTCAGATGGTGGCGTGGCCACATCACTGATGTTCCATGGGCACTGCACACTGATGTCTTTGTAAAATACTCTGTTGTCATGCAAGAAATAGAAACTGTTCAGGAACCAGTTTCACAGCATCCTTCTTCTCACCCAGCAGTGCTGATCACTATGCTACAGCCAAGTCCCTCTCTTGCCTGATCTTTCTGCTTGAAAGTGATTAGATCATCAGGACTAGCTAGAGTAAGTTTCAATTTCCTCTTCTGAACCTTCATCTCAGCAAATGTCCCACTTCCTATGAGAGTTTGGAGGGAAAGGGCTGTCTTGTTCCCTTGGGCTAAACTTCTTTCACTTTGTAGAACAGCCAGGGATAATGAAGAACTGTAGAATCACAGAATAATTTATCAGAAGGGACCTCTTGGAGATCAGCAGCCTCTCCAAGCAGGACTAGCTTCAAAGAGAGATCAGGTTGCTCATGACTGACATTTTCCCCGTTGTCAATCTGGACAAAAGATAGTCAGGCTTGCTGCACTTCCGTATGTTTCACCCCTGGAAAAAATACTAATTGCACTTGCATTTTTATGGTGAAGTCCCGTTGAATAGCTTTTACCAGAAGCTTTCCAAAGTAGAGGAGTTGGGAATGGGTAGAGGCCAGAAGACTGACAGGGAAAATTCAGGGAAATTCCTTCTGCCTCAAATGAGAAATGAATGTGTCATGGCACAGTGCCTAATTTTTCATAAGTTGTGTTGCCTTCTTTCATGTGTCACTTTAGGCCAGTGTTCAACAGCCACCACAAGTCAAGTGGCTTCTTCAAAGGAACAGAGCTTGGAAGGGTTTGGCTGCTGAATTCTCCCAGGAAGCTGTGAACTTTGGCCAGAAGTATGTGCAACAGAGACACTGGAAACAAGCCTAGGCAGCTGGAAGAACAGGACCTGAAATACTACCAAAGGGAGAGGCCTTGGGCTTTCACACTGTGATCATGAGAGGTCCCCATGAAGGTCCTTGGTCACACAAGGCCTTGCCGCTCAGACTGAACAAATGAAATCCCTGCCTAGCCATCACTGAAACCAAGGGCAAGCCATGGCCAAGGCCTGGCCAGCAGCAAGCAAGGCTGGCCGAGGCTCGGACAGCTGCTCTGGTGGCCCCCTGGGCAGCCGTGCACTGCCTGAGCAGAGCTTCATGCGGGGACACAGGTAGGACACCTCCGCCTCTGCCACAAGGCATGCGTCCACCATCAAGTGAGTAGGCGGCCTGCCCTAGGTGGGCATGGAGGGGCTTTGCACTAAGGGGTTTTGCTGGGCACATGGGCCCTTACAGCAGCACGGCTGATGGACAGTTGCCTGTTAAACTGCCATAAAATACTTAGAGCTGGTTCCCTAGAAAGGTTCTTGTTTAGTTCTGGGGGAAAAGGGAGCAAGAGATCGTGGTGAGGGGGCATTCGTCATTGAGAAAGAACTGGCACTTTACAAGAAATTGTGTCATCCTCCCCTGTGTTCGGGGAAACTCTTGTTTAGGATAGGAAGTTGGGACCCTCCAGGCTTTGTTATATCAGGGCCTCTGTGTACACACTTGAGGAGTATACAAACCCCAGAGAAGAGCGTTGATCCATTGCTCAGGTCAAAAGGGGAACACTAGTAGCAGGCAGGACAGATCTCTTGCAAAGCTGGGGCAAAACACGGAGAGGAAGCTGTTCTCCTGGTATGGGAAGATGTTTTTACTGAAACAGATGAGACCGCCTTGAGTTTTCAGTTACCAGCGAGCTCAACAATTTCCTCAGCAGATGGGATGTCTCACTTCATGCTCATTTTTGTTACGCCAATATTCAAACCCCACTTAGTGCTCTTTTGGTGAATCATGTTTGTAAACTGTGCAGCGTAGCTATTCACATATTGGGCAAGGTCCTGTCAGCTTCTTCATGCTGCAAGTCTGGAAGCTATTAAAGCCATCTGAAATGTCCAGGAAGAGAATATTTTATCACCTGCAAATTCTAACTAATGTGTTCCAGGTTCATTTACTATCATTCCTAATTCCTAAGGGCAGTCCTAAGTCATAGAGTTAAATGTTCCCAAAGACCAACATAGACTGGGAGCACTACATATGTTGCCTAGAAAGTACTACAGTGTGTTTTTGTGCTATTACTCTGGGCCAGGAACTGTCTCTGCAGCCCTTCGTAAGCAGCCTTTCCAGCTGCCTGACAGCGGCACAAGTGCGACGGACGTGACATCAGGACTGCCTGAGGCTGAAAGTCTTAGTTCAAGCTTGGCAATCCCAACCCACGCTCATTGCTGCGCTAACTGGATTCCCGCTCTTTACAACCACCTCGGGCAGTAAACAGAGTGAGTTGGTGTCTGCTCACAAACGGCCACATCATGATGCTGTCATCCGACCTCCATCCCAGGGACCTGCTGTGGCCTACAGGCTGGGAATGAAGAGCACACTCTATAAACTAAGTCCCATTTAAAATACAGGGCCTGATTCTTTTCTTAGGCCAAGAGGAGAGCCCTTGCAGCGAAGGGCTCCCTGCAAAGGCGCTGGCGGCGCTCTCCCGAGCCGGCAGACAGCTCAAACAATGGCTTGCGGAGGCGCCTCCTGCCTTCATTCATCGCACGCAGGGACCCGCCACCACGTTCCACGGAAACAATGTGACCGGCCATATTCGGGGTTTCACTGCTGATTATTTTAGCAGACAGGATGGGGACAGGGTAGGAGTGAGACCCATATGGGAAGTGGGAATTGCATGGTAGGAAGTAGGGAGACAACACAGAAAAAATCAGGGAAGGGTGAAAGAAAAAACCCTCAAGGGCAGACACGATGGTGATAATAAGGTGCTCGCTCTTTATCTCCGAGTGACACTGGGCACCACAGCAGGAACAGAGCTAACAGGATGAAGATAACCAGCCCATTTCTTCCTCACTGCACGTTTCGCCTGTCTGCCGTGCCCCTGTCATTTGGGGAGAATTGTTCTCCGGCGGGAGGACGCGAATGCCCTTTGTGTTTGCGCCAGCCCAGGAGCCGTGAGAAAGCGGCTGCCCTCAGCCCGCGTGACGCGAGATCCCCAGCGTGGGTGAGACAGCCGGCGCCCACCAGAGCGAGGCACCGCCAGCGGTGCTTTAGCTGTGATTTATCTATGGCCCTGCTTTAGGAGGAGAGCGATCAGCTCCCAGATCAAGGCCCTCTACCCTTCCACAAGGAGCCAGGCGGCTGCTGTTTGCCAGCACAGGCAAAACCCACCCAAGGACGGGCAGAAGGAGCGTGAACGGTCAGCCCTGGATGTGTCCTGTCTCCTCAGTGGTGCATCGGAGTCCCTGCTCTGCTCAAGTTAATGGTGAGCCACCTTCCTTTCAAGTGCCAGATGCTTAAGACAAGGAACAGACTTGTGCTTCCTTTTTTTTTCCAAGAGGCTGTGAATTACAAGTTTGGGAAAGCCATACAGTACATCTGTATTAGTAAACTAAACAAACCCAGGGCTTTCCTGTGACACCGAGGCCAGCTAGCATGGAACAGCTCATGTTCACACTGGTGGTGCTCATTGCTTTACCAGGCCATGGAGCTGTATGGAAGTGTGCTGGGTGGCCCAGAACAAAACTGGCCAGAAATATTTGTGTTTGACAGAGCAGTTGATTGAGTTCCAGTGCGTGCAAATGTTTAATTTGCTAGTATAGATAAAGCCTAGATCCTACATTAGCAGAGATGCAGCCCTATTTTACAGGAATCTCACAAATGCTGGCTTTCACACTGCCTTGGTATGAATTTATAGCAGCTAGTATGTTTGCAAACCCGGTGTGAGCTTTTGCAGATATGTTTGTGTCTCCTGCCATGATGCTGGAGAGCAAAATTGCTAGGGAGTTTGTGCAAACACACTGCTGATCTTGCTGGTGTGGCTGGGGACATTCCCATTCCCATTCCCTGCTCCCTGTGCTGCTCTGCTGCACAGCTCCCCAGCAGCAGTAGCAGCAGCGTGTGACACG